AAATCAATAAAAAAATATATTAAAAAACCCCCTGCCTCCTAGCACCCCAGCGGTTGCACAAACCTTTCGCCCCAGGACTGTCTATTCCTTGTAGTGCTGCCTCCCCAGAGGTTAGCATCTGGTACACAAATAGATGTCTCAATGGGCGCCAATACTTTCATCCTCATCAAAACTATATTGACCTCGGAGGGGTGCGTGACTCTTCCCGGCCACCCTGCTGCTGAGGGCGGAGCTGGGACCCGAACCCGGGCAGTCGGACTCCAGGGTTCACCCCCTGGGTACCGCCCTTCACTCCATGACCCAATTCTGTAAACTGATGTTTTACACACGGAATCAAGGAGGAGGGAGAAGCCTGTGATGGCCACTCAGGGGGTGAGGACACGGGGACAGAGTGGCCGTGATTTGTCCCAGGTCCCACAGACTTACAGAACATCCTTGCCCATGCTCTTTCTAAAAAAATTCCCCTGAGGTGTTTCCTCCCGTGTGGGTCTGGAGGGGACGTTCCCAGACCGTGGGTCCCCAGCTACTCACGGCCACGTCCAGCTGTGTGGCTGGGGCCACGTCCGCCTCACTAGGCTGCTGCGGGACCTCAAGATTGCCCATTTTCTCCTGCTTCCGCCATTTGGCTCGCTGATTCTGGAACCAGATCTGATGAGAGAGAGAGAGAGAGAGAGAGAGAGAGAGAGAGAGAGAGAGGCACGATGGAGGTAAGCAAAGGGTATTTTCTCCATCTAGTGTCTCCCCCAACATGCCTAATAACCACGCCTCCCGAGAGACTGTGGTTTAGAAAGCTCACGGCATCCAGGATTTCTCATCCAGGATTTCTCTGGCTCTGGAGGTCAGCCTTCTGAGAGGGGTTAGGGGACCACAGCCTCCAACGCCTGTAGGGCCTGATCATTCGGGAGGGCAGCAGCTGGGTGCCCCGTAATCAGGAGGGGTGGGGTCCATGGCCCCCAAGCCTAAGGGGGCAGTCTCTCAGCTTCAGCCAAACAGCCACCAGCCACCATGTGAAATGTGAGCCCAGTCTTGCAGGCTCATCCAATTTCTAAGACAGAAATCTGGATTTTTCTGTGAGAGTTCTGAGCTTTAAAATACTGTGCAGACCAAATAAAACCCACCAGTGGGCTGTTTCCTGCTGGCAGGCCACCAGTTTGCAACTCCTGTGGGCCCCTGGGCATCTGCAGGAACATTGGCCATTTCCTGTATTCATGAGCATCCTGATTGTCCCTGACACGTGGCCATTTGTACTGGCTCATTCTTCTGAGGCGCCGCTAAATTTTGAGCCACTTAGCTGGGGCTACCAACGTAGCTGGTGACAGATTTCTAATGGAAAGAAAAAGGGGAGAAGTCCGAGGCAGGGGCATCCTTAGCCAGGAGAAAAGTAGGTTGGGATACGATAAAGAGTAGAATGTTGTCCTGGGCCCTCACTGAGATTTTGAATTCAAATGAGCCCATCAGGTTTGTTAAAAAAAGAAAAAAGAAAAAAGAAAAAAAAGAGAGTGATTTAGAAAACCACTGGAGAGCATGCCAACAGTGCAACCATTGGATTTGGGTTTGCTAGAATGGTGCTTGCAAAACTGGGGATGTGCCAGGAGGGCAGGATGTATGCCTGGTGAGTGACAAGGGGCTATTATATCCCCAAACCATGGAAAAAGCCATAGACACTCAGGGGTGAAGAAATTGCACAAGGATTACAAGGAGGAGGGAGAAGCCTGTGGAAAGTTTCGGATTAGGCAGTCGATGTTTGAACCAGGCCTCAACCCTTGGGTCCAGGGTCCTCTCCATTTCTCTGCTGTCAAAGTGATGACAGCCATGTGGTCCAGATCAGGGGCTGGAAAACTAAGGCTTGTCGGCTAACTCTGGCCCGCCAGCTGTTTGTGTATGGCCTACCCATGAGTTAAGAAGAGTTCTCACATTTTTAAATGGCTGCAAACAATCCACGGAAGAAGAATATTTTGTGACACATGCAAATTATACAAAATTCACATGTTAGTGTTTATCGATAAAGTTTTATTGGAACACTGCCATGCTCAATTATTTGTGTATGGTCTGTGGCTGCTCTTATGCTACAGTGGCAGGGTTAAATAGCTGTGACAGGGATCTGATGGCCCCCGAGGCTCAACATAATGACCACCTGGCCCTTTACAGAAAACCTGTGTTGACCCCGGTCTAGATTGTCAAGAGGTATTTTGTGAATGAGGCTGCATAGTGGATGATGTTCTGAAACTGTAGACAAGTATAGAGGAAGGGAATGGGAGCATCTATCGATGGCCATCAGCAATGCCACCTCACTCCATTTTCACCGTCCAAGGAGAGAAATCATCTTAGAACTATGGGGACCTCCTTTCCTGGAATGTAACGTTTAGCAGATATGACTGTATTTGTGGGATAAAGCCAATGGCAAGTTTCAGACGGGGCAGGCCTGGAGGTCCGGGATCCATACTGTCTCACCCAGTGTATTGAGGTGGGGCTAGAGCGGGAGGGTTGTACCTGCACCCGAGCTTCTGGGAGGTTGATCCTGGCTGCCAGCTGGTTGCGGACGTGGATGTCTGGGTAGTGGGTGAAGCGGAAGAGCTTCTCCAGCTCATGCAGCTGCTCTGTGGTGAAGGTGGTTCGGACCCTCCGTTTGCTCTTCCTCTCCTCTGGATGGAAGGGGGAGGGGCCAAGGTGTGTTAGTGACCTTGCTGTTGGCTTTAGGTTACAGACCACAGTGGGTATGAAAAAGAGGAAGCAGGAGAGAGAAGGCAGAAGAGCACGAATGGAATAGGGAACAGAGAAAAGATAGCGCACAGAGCTCGGCCCGTAGAATTTTGGACCTCAGTGAACAAGAGGTTGGGAAGACAAGCTCATGGATGGGGCGCCCATGCACTGGGCAAGGTTCTCAATCCCCAGGAAGGGCTGGGATCCACTGGGCCCAGTCAGAGAGGAGATGTGGGTGGTGGGCCCCATTTTCCGAGCCGTGGAAGGGGAACTGGATTGGGAGGAGAAAACCCTTGAGTTTCTGTCTAGGCCCGGCATCTCAGGCCCAGGAGCTGGTGGCCACAGTGCAGCACACCGGCTGCATTGGTCGAGGGCACCCTGGAGGGCACCAGGCGGGGGGAGGGGGAATGGGGGCGGGAGAGAGGTGAGGAAAGTTACGGGAAACTGCCCCCCTTCCAGGTTGCTCCTCTCCCCGTTATTAATTGTGCAAGCTGTGAATCACACTCCGGTGGGTCTTCACAGAGAACGAGTCAGCAGAACTTAATTAAACCTGAGCCGTTTAGCACATCGATCATAAGAAATACACAATTTACACAGGTGATTAGGCCACCTAATTATAAACCGATGTTTCTCCACGCTCGGCTCCCTCCCCTGATTGCTCCTTCTCTGGGGTCTGCTAATGGGCCCTGGCTGCTCAGCTACAGGCCCTGGGGGCTTTGCACGGGCAAAGTCTCTGCAAAGGCCTGTCCTTGTCTTTCTGAGGCTGCGGGCTCGGCAGGGAGGGGATCCAGGGCACCCCTGGGAGCCCTCCTGCGGGCCAGGGACGCCTCCTGGACATGGCGGGTGGGTGGGGTGCAGGGCAGGAGTCTTCCAGGGCAGACTCGCACTGGCTTCTTCTCTCCAGTCGGTCAGGGACTTCCTGTAGTTCCCTTGTGCCCACAGCAGCAACCACGACCTCCTCTGGGAAACCTCCCCTGGCCTCCTCGATGGACCAAACCTCCCGTAGAACAGGCCATTAGGGCGCTGTGTTACCCCTCCCCGCACTATCGCCGCCGTCACTGCGCTTTCCTGGTGACTATTGGATGGCCATTTGTCTCCTGCTGGACGAGGCAGGGCTGTGCTTGTGCTCTGCTCTCCGCAGCACCCCCACTCCCAGCTGATACCTGTGGCGGCTTTAAGATAAGACCCTTTGCATTCTTGTCTCCTTTAATGCGGGCCCACCTTAGTGATGCCCTAGCAGACGGGCCATTGGAAGTGGCAGCTCCCACTTGGCTCCCTCCCTCTTGGATGGCTCGCTCTGAGCGATGCCACCCCCATTTTGGGAGGACACTCAAGCAGCATGTGGAGAGCCCTGCCTGGGGAGAAACTGAGACCTCCTCCAACGGTTGGTGCCACTCACCAGCCATGAGCGCCAGCCACCGTGGGAACAGATCCTTTATTCCAGTCCAGCCTTCGGGTGACAGCAAGCGACACCCTTCCTGCGATCTCACAGGGACCCTGAGCCAGACCGCCCAGTTAAGTCATTCCCAGATTCCTGACCCACAGAATGTGAGTGACAGAGTAAGTGTTCATGGTTATGTGAAGCCACCAAGTTTGGGGACAATTTCCGTGTGTGCAGCAATAGATAAGCCTGCCACCCAGCCACCATTCAGTAGCTCGTTGCATGCCTGGATGAAGCATATGATGAATACATCGAATTTAAATTATAGCCGATGCTAAAGCCTCTGCCGTCCACTCGGCTTTCTCCTGGCTCTGACGCGCTGGGGGCCTGTTACCATAGTAATGTTGTCAGCGCCCTGCTTGCATCCCTCAGACCTTTGTGTGCTCCAGAACCACTTGCTACTGCCAGGGGATGACTTTCTAGGCTGCAAAGCCCACATAATTCCAAGGAGTATATTTGCTCCCTTTCCCAAAGGATCGAAGTTCAGTTTTGCACAGTGGTCACTGCCTTCAGCACTTGGGCTTAAATCCTCCCTTCAGCTCTGCTTTTTGGGGGATCCTACAAGAATACACTGTTTGGTTTTTTGCAGGCAGGAGTCCAGCATTGTATTGCCTTGTACTCCTAACAGGGCCTAAGAAGGAGTCGGCTTCTCAATTCTAGAACCAGCCTTCAGGTCCCCCAGACCTGTAGGAATGTCCCCATGGCCATGGTAGGTTGTGACTGGTGGCAGGGACTGAGATAGGTGAGAGAGAGAGAGAGAGAGAGAGAGAGAGAGAGAGAACCACACTTATCCTGGGGGAAGTACAGGCTTTTAGCTCTGCATCCTTTAGCCCTGCTGCTGTCTGCTCTCATGGGAGCCTAAGGGCAGAGTCATTAATGAGCCATGAGACACACCCTAGGCCTCCAGGGAGCTGGCCTCTCTCAGAAGGAGGGAGCGGTCAGCTGGCCTCAGCATCCTCTTAAGTTGGGAGACCCTCTTGGAATTTTTCATTGGCTTGAGACCTGGGAGGGTCCAAGCCTTAGATGAGGAGGGTCCCTGTGAGCATGGAAAGATGTGGGGAGGATGCACCCTGGCTGCTGGCAGGAGACACGGGGGAGCGGAGCACGGTCCTCGGCCTGGATGACTGGCCAGGCCCCGGCTCCTGTAGGTATTGGTTCTGCAGCTCAGAGTCAGCCACTCTGCCTCCCTTGGCCTCAGCCTCCCCAAAGAGTGGTCTTTGGACCACTTACCTCCTTGGACCACTTTTGGGAGCGCTGGTTAGAACTGGGGTTCCTGGGCACCATCCTGGACCTAGAGTCAGAGTCTTGGGTGCCAGGCCTGCCATGCGGCATTTTCAGGAGCTCCCTGGCTGTGCCAGGCAACCTCCACCAGCCACACCATGGAGCCCTTAACGTGGCACATGAGGCCAGAGGACTTTACTCTTTTGTGGTTATTACTGGGGTGATGCCAAGAGGGAAATAGGTGGGGTGGAGGTGGGGGTCCTGTGAGGGTGGGAGAGGCTGCCCCTCCTGCCACCCTGCCCTGCCCTGCCCTGCCCTGCCTGCGGGGAGACCCCGCTGCTGGGAGGAAGCTCTGAGTGGGAAATCGCCGTGAGTGAAACCACAAGGCTTCTCAGCACCCAGTTTGCTGTGGAGCTGGTCATGGTGTCAGAGCTGGGAGGGACCTCAGGAATGGTCCCGAATGCTCTTTCATGCTCCACATGGGAAAACCGAGGCCCAGAGATCCCAGGCTCGCCTGAGGGCCTCCCGTGAACCGGTGCCAGCTGGGCGTAGAGGCCAGATTCCTGCAACCCCAGCTTCCTGTCCCCCTCGCCCAGCCTCTCACAGACACGGCTCCTTCACTGTGTCTGCCAGTGACCTCTGTGCTTTCCGACAGGTCGGCATCCCATCTGCATTATTATTTGCTTAGCAGCTTCCCAAATAAACGCTTTTGTTTACTTAAATAAGTAAACTTATTTAAAAAGAAAACTTCACGTTGTGACCAAAAAATGGGGAACCAGCATCCTGGGTCCTAAACAGAAGCTTCGTGTACAAATAATGAGAACTATTGGGATAAGTCATCTCATCTTTGTGTGCCCTCAGCGTCATCTTGAAAACCACCCGGGGGCCCTTCACTGGCCTCGGATACACGGGATTCCCGCAGAGCGCCCACGTTCAGGAATAGCCTGGAGTGGGTGGTCTCAGGCCTCCAGGGCGCAGTTCTCGTGCTAACACTCATGTGGTGTTGGCAGCCGATGGGTCTTCTCCTCTTGGTGCATCATCTATAAGGTGGGGGCTCACACCTGTGACAGTTTGATGGCAGGATGGCCATGGAGTGCCGGGAGCCAGGGCGCTGTCTAACCCACCGCTGCTCTGTGGTTGGTCACCCCCTGGGGTCTGCTCTGGCTGTAGCTGACGTGGATGCACCGGCGTCTTTAGGGAGGTTCGGGATGAGTGACCGCCTGCCTTTTTGCCACCAGCCATTGTCAGCTAGGAGAAGGGCGGCTCCTCTGGTAGGGATATCAGATCTCTCTCTCTCTCTCTCTCTCTCTCTCTCTCTCTCTCTCTCCCTCCCTCCCTCCCTCCCTCCCTCTCTCGTCATGGATTCTATGAAGCTGCAGCAGGAGGGACTGAGGCTGGACCCCTGGAAGAATCATTTCTGTGAATGCTTGTCCAATTCACTGGAAGATATGAATGAACTTCTGACAATGACGCTGGGGATCCTTCCCCATTAATAAGCTCAGCTACAGGGGGACCCGCCACCTCCCCGGGAAGGAGGGGTCCTTCATGGTCTTCCCCTGCAGCTGGGGAAAACCCCCTCTCCGGAGACTGGACTGGGGGGCTGTGGGTTGTGTGTGGGGGTTCCCTGGATTAAAGGGGTGGGAAGGGGGAGAGAACTGGGACCCTCATGTGAGAACCGCGGGCTCCTCGACTCTCAGACGCCAGTGGGCACTTGAGACATCGCCTCGGTGTCCCCTCCCTTCCCTCGACCGTGTCACCGAGGATAAAGCTCGGCCGGAGGGGAAAGGGACGTCCTGCGCTCACACAGGCCAGGGTAGCACTGAGTCAGATGTCACCGGTTCCTGCTCTTAGCAGGGGCCTTCCCCACGCCAGCTGTCAGGGAGGGGTCTGGATGTGGTCGCTGCTCTTTGGGGACATGCCCTGGGGGGAGCACTGGCCTGGGGCGGGGTGGTTAGGACGGGCAGATCCGGGCAAAACCTCAGCCACTACCGCTGAGCTGGCTGGGCTGCACTCACGGAGGAGAATGTGTGCACTGAGCAGTGTTTAGGGGCGGCCTGAGCAGGCTCGGACCTCGGGTCTTCTGCTTACTCGCTGGGCAACTCTGGGACACCGTCCACCGCTCTCCGTTCACAGATGGGTTTCCACATCTGTCAGGCTATGGTCATGATGAAGGCAAATGGGAGGCACACGCAGCCTCGGGGATGGTGCCTGTCACGTCGTAAATGCTGAGTAAGTGCCTGGCAGCAGCATTCCCACCGGGGCCTGGTTGCAGGACGGGCCCCGTCCCTGCATTCTGCAATTCACTGAGCCTGGTGTCCCACCAGAACAGCCACAGTTCTGGGCTGGGTAGAAAGAGATTGAAGGTCCCAGCCCCATGCCTGGCATCTCTGAATTTTAGAGCCCCCTCTCCTGTCACCACAGCGTAACCCAGCTGGGTCGTGGAGACTCAGGAATGGATAAGAAATGACCAGAGACACTTACCCTGGGGCTGGTCCTGAGGGGGCCTCTCCAGCCTGGAGCCTGCAACGGCAGCTTGCCCGGTCCCCCTGCCCCCGTCGCTCCTCTCGGCGGGCCTCTTTAAGATCTCCTCGATGGAGAAGGACAGACCCAGCTTCTTGGGGGCCTCACAGCACCCCGAGTCCTTCCTCTCCATACCCTGCCTGGGCACTCTCCGTGGGTGGCTGGGAGGAGGGCAGAGGGGGCTTGTGGATGCCCAGGGTGATGCTGGTGGCGGGTGGCTGCTTCCTCTCCCGAGACTCCTGGGATCAAGAGGGCAGGCAGAGGTGGAGAGCCGGGAGCCTCATGTCGGGTGATCCGGGCGCGATGCCGCCTCCCCAGGGACTTCCATGGGCCGCTGCCGCTCACGCCTGGGATCGAGGTGCGGGTCACAGGGGAAGACCTGGACCGGCTGTACCCCAATTGGCTTCAGTCTTACTGCAGAGGGTCTTCTCCGGGTGGGCGGCCTCAGGCTCTAGCCTAGGCCCAGGGCCCAGAGGTCACGGCCAGCGGGCAGCAGGGCACAGAGCTGGGCGGAGGAGAAGCCTGCCCCCAGAGGCGAGCTGGGGCAGCGGGGCCACCTTCTTGCCCTTTCTCTGGCTTGTGGTCTTTCCTGCTGGCTCTGGCCAGGCCTTCGGGAGGCTGCGGTGCTACCCTTGGGTCCCAGGTGGCCAACTCCGTCGGGGGCCGCACCACAGCTGAGGGTGTTCCCAGAGACCCCCCTGGATGTCTTTCAGCTCCGCGGCATCTAGTCTCCAGAATGCGCCTTCCGAGCACCCGTGCTTCCGATGGCCTGCAGGTGGCGGCCCGGGGGGGGGGGGGGGGGGTGTCACTGGGCACTGCCAGTTGCTCTCTGCGATGGGCCGGGCTGAGTGCTGGGCCTCCCAGGCGGCTCTGGTCCCACCCTGACTTTCTTCGCTCCCCGACCTCACTTCAGAAACCTCTCGGTGGGCACCAGGACCAGGGAGCTGCTTCTCGCCTTTGGCGTCCTTCCTGCTTCTTTCCTGCTTGCAGCCCCCTCCCTGCCCCCGAGACAGCACCGAAGGGCCTTTCTCTCTGCCCCGGAGCCCTGGGCTGGGAGCTGACAGGCATGGCCCGTCCTGGCCAGGAGCTCTGTTCCCAGTGACTGTGTAACCAGGGAGGAGGGGGCAGTAAAACCGCTGATAAGCAAGAAACTCTCCACCCTCCTTAGGGCCGGGGACGCAGGTGTCCGGGGATAGGAGCAGGGGGCAGAGGGGGGCTAGAGGACGGGTTTGGGGGGCTGGGGCTGTGCGGGGGAACTGGCCAGGCTGGAGGAGGTCAAGGGAAGGTGGGGCAGGATGGCCAGGAAGTGTCTGCGGCCCAATGAAACGTGTTTACTCAGCCGGGAGGGTTTATGGGTCTCCTTCAGGCTGGAGGCTGGGCCAGGGTGCAGTCTGCTGGGTGTTGGCACAAGAAGTCTCTCTCAGGTGTGTTTGCAAATATGTGGGGACACTGAGGCCCAGGCCAAGGGGCTGCAGTGGGTGCCATGACGGTGTGAGCCAAGTACCCTATTGGGGAGCTCCAGAATGCCACGTGGGGCACAGGGGCCGATGTGCACGAGAGTGACAGATGCCCCGGGAGGGAGTGTGCGCAGGAATCGGGACATTAGACTCTAGACCTCTGTCAGAGGGTGGGGGTGGCAGGTGGAGCTGGGGAAAGCTGATCCCCACACCCTGAGGAGGGTGAGTGGGGAGAGTTCAGGAATCATCTGAGAGGGGGAACAGGGCAAGTCAGGGGGTCAGTTTTAGGAGCTGTTCCCATGGAAGTGTCAGGCTATCTATCGGGTCCAACTAGGGGACTCTGGGCACACGTAAACCCTAAAATATTGGGAGCGTCATTGCTCACCCGTGTCACAGCCAGGGTAGTCGGACATTCGTTCAGGGGCCCAGGCTCCTTCCCGGGTGGGATGCGACCATCCTCCAGTCCTGGGCTCCCAGTTTCCCAGGGACAGGAGGGAGCGAGGAGGGAGTTTTGTAATCGGAAGTGGAAGTGGTTCCTGGAACTGCTGCTCACGTTCTGTGTCCGGGGTGAGTCACATGACCCTGCGCCATGCACGGGGGCTGGGAAACGGAGTTCCCCTCTGGGCCGGGAGGAAAATGACCCAGTGGGGTGGATGCACAGTGAAGTGCCTGCTGTATACCCTTTAATGTCAGGAGGCAGAGTCCTGCCGAAGCCAGCCCTCCCCCTCACCCCCCTACCCCACGCTGGCTCGCGCTGGCTGGTTGACGGAGCTGTTGCCTTCGGAGGCAAGTCTCCTTCCACTCGGGGCAGAGAGGCACCATGAACAGACAGACACAGGACAGAACAGGGAGCTCTTTTATTTTATTTTATTTTATTTGGTAACCAGAGGCTGGACCTGGCTTAAAGTCGATTCATATTTCAGTCTGCTTGGACCTGGGGTTCTGGGTGATGGGTTAAAATCCTCCATTTATACCACTTACTTGCAGTCAGTCAGACTAGCCTCCGAAGACCAGAATATCAGGTTGGTGTAGGGCTTGCAGGTGCTCCTTGACCTGCTCTGGAAACAGTGGAAGAACTGTTACATATGTAATATCGTATGTAATATGTAGATCATGCCTCCTTATGGACAGCTGTAGCAAGCTAGAGGACCATTGCTCACAGGGGATTTAGCGAGTCCAGTAGTTCTGGGTGCTAGTGCATGGCAAAGGCCTTTATTCAGCAAACATTCACTTGGTGCCTACTATGTGTCTGACACTAGGCTAAGTACTGAGTAAGACCAACATGGCTCCTGCCCTGTTACAGATCAGAAAGGAGACACAATAAACAAGCAGATGAGTAGATAAAATAATGACAAATTATGGTAAGCAGTTTGAAGGACACAGTGCTCTAAACTGTCTTACATTAGTCTGTCTTATTTATTGCTATGTTCAGGAAGGTGATTTTTAGGTAGGGACGAAGTGGTAATATCCCTCCTACCTTGACCATACGTATGGCCATGCGCAAGGCTATTAGAACTCATGGTTGCACCTCAGAGAATGGGGGTATTGCAAAGAGAGGGATGGAACTTTCAAATTGGTGTGAATTGCTTTTTTTGAGATCTCTTGAAACGCCAGGAGATGCCTTGGGCTTACCTCCTTACCCATTATCAAGGGCGTTGTTAGCCAGTTAAAACTGGCTTTGTTGGCTCATTTTGATTTGGGTAAATGTGGATGTTGTCATTATCGTTCTTGGTTTGATAAAGACCGCCAGTAAACAAAATAAAATTATGTCACATAGTTTCCAAGGGTCTGGAATTTTGGAGTGACTTAGCTGGGTAGTACTGACTCAGGGTCCCTCATGAAGTTGTTGTCAAGATGTCAATTGGACTTTGGTTATCTGAAGGTTGGACTGTGGCCGGATGACCTGCCTCCAAGAAGGTTCACCTACATGGGTGTTGGCTGGAGGCCTTAGTCCTCACTATGTAGGGCTCTCCATAGAGCTGCTTACAACATAGAAGCTAAATCCTCCTGGACTAGTGATGAGAGAGAGAGAGAGAGAG